TCCTCTCTCTCAGGCTCCAGGCCCCATTCCATTCCTTAGCTTTTTTTTTTTTTTTTTTTTTTTTTTTTTTTTTAAAGAGCTGGAGTGTAGGCCAGAGGTGTGGGGTGAGGAGGTGAGAGGATTCACCAGAGACAGAATGGGGAGCAGAATAGGTGGATCGACTGAAATACACTTCTGAGGGGAGCAGTAGGCAAAACAGGAGAGCTTTGCTGCGCCATGTGTGTTAGCTTCCTGCCTGGGGGTGGAACTTGTGCTGTAGTGGCTGCCAATAGCTTCATAGTGCTGAGACTTACCTCCTTGCGCCACCAGGGAGGCCCCCCCTTAAAACCTTTTACTTTAGAACTTATCACCATGTAGATCCTCCATACACATGTAGTTAAATTTGCTCTTTTCCTCCTACTAATCTCCTACTAATTTGTGTGATATTAATTTATTTTCTTGCCCAACTCATTCTGAGAAGCACCCAAAGGGGTATGGAAATCTTCCTGTGCTTTGCAACAGACTTCAGTATGTTTGTTTTGAGGGGAAAGTTTGGTCTGTAACAATAATTATGTGCCTACCACTCTTGTGGGTGTTTGGAAGTCATTAGTGAGCTAAACAGATCCCTCCACTTGTAGAGCTAGTCTTATAGAGAGAGGAGACAATTAGGAAATAATAATTATGATGTGTAGATAAATTATGTAGTGTTAGAAAACAGTAGTTATAGAGAAAAGTACAAGAGCAGGTGAAAGGTGTGGAGTAGCAGCATAGGATTTGGGTAGGTGACAATTTTAAATGGACAATCAGATTAGCGTCTCTTGAAGAGACCCTGAACATAGCCTTGAAAATTATGAGGGGATTAACACTACAGATATCTGCCCTTGTTAAGGCTAGTGTTTAGTTGAGAACAATAGGCATTATTCAGAAACTTTGGAAAACATAACTTAGAGTCAGAATTTGGTTCAAGTTCTACCTTTGTAGACTTTGGGAAACTCAGCACATGTAACAAATTAATAACTGTATCAGAGATTAAATGAATGCTTGGAGCCAGAATAATTCAGAGCTGATTATGCTGTTTAGCTGAAAACTGAGAAAACAAATTGCTTCAATGCTGAATCTGAACTCCTTCAGGAATCACTGTCTGATTGCCAAACTTATCAGGGATGGACAGTCTGTCCCTCTAGCTTTGGAGGCATTTCATTGTTTCTTGGTTTCATTGTCAACAGACTAGTACTTGCTTTGGTGTGGAATTCAGGAATGACCTCATTAATTACATTGATAAATATGTCAATCAGAGACTTTCCAAAGGGCTTTTCATTTGAGTCTAGGGATTAGAGTCTGCTTTAGGTGAGGCGAAGTGGCTGATGAAATTCAGCAGCTCTTCACTAATATAAAATATCAAGTAATAAGTTTGTGGGACATACATATAATTGTGTGTTACTCAGCAGCTCAGAAGGTATTTCTGTCAAATCCACGTTAGTAAAAAATAAAAATATGAGTGATTAACAAACAGGAAATCTATCTCTGACAGGGAAGGGGAAAGATAGCAAAAGATACACCTTGACAAAATGTAAGAAGTAATCCTGAAAGTGAGCACTGGGGAAGGTCAAGAAGAGCTGGACGGTTAGGCAAATTACTTGGGAGCACTTAGAATAGGAGGGGAAGTGGAGGTAAAAGAGAAATTCTGGCAATTTACAGATATTTTCATTTTGACTATAATATAAAGTGGATAACAGGTTGTTTTAACAAAATGAAAATTGGCAAAATATAATTTCTTAGATTCACTTATTCTGTAAATGAAATGCCTCTTCTATGTCCGATCCTAGAATGAGCTCTGGATCAACAGCAGCAAATAACCTGGCCTCCTATTTACATTCTAGTTGGCAAGAGATAAAAGTAAACCAGCAATACCCAGTGTGGCAAGTCCATGAATATGCACAGATAACTCTGGGAGCCAGTAGGTAGCAGCTAGACCAGAGCCTAGGGTGAGTGACATCAGGAGTTTCTAGAGGCAACCAAACCACTAATTATAAGAGGTTATAAGAGGAGATGTGGTTTAACTGGGTCTTTCACATTATCACTCTGTTAGCAGTAATTAGGCAATCTAAGTGGGTGACATTTTTGCTAAGCTGTAGGGTGAACAAGAAATATTCCAGAGTTCAAGGATTTAGACTCTAGTAATGGGAAAGAAATACAAAACTAGTTCACCAGTGTTTTCTTAGGTATGAAGGGGACTTTACCTAAAGGATTCAGCAACACGAATCTCTTCACTCAGTTTGGGGTGTGGTTGTATGAGGAAAGATGTCTTGTATCTGGAAAGTTAAGTAGATATGTGGTGTTTGGAATGGAGACTCAAGACACTGAAGATTGATGAGACACTCCCATGACTTGTACTGTTGGCAGCACTTAAAAGTATGTGAGGAAGGGGTTAGAGAGATTAAGATGGAGAACAGAAATAAAACAAGTCATCTATGATCATAGAAGGCATTTGGGTTTATTCTCTGGACATAAAGGTATTTGTGAGGGAGGAATAAGCTAAACAGTCAGGGATTAAAGTGGCAAAGTGACTTGTGAAATATGGAGTCATTTTGACTTCACTGTGGAGGGTGACCAGAGTGGAAAGGGACTGGAGGTAGCAGTGACCATTTGGGAGTTCTGGCATTAGTCCTGGCACCAAGTGGTGAAGGTTTAAATCAAGACTGTAAATAAGGGGAAGAAGAGAGACATGTGATAGGAGAAGTAATTATGAGACTTGATTAATGATTGTGTGACCAGAGTATTTCAGAGGACAGGGACCAGCCTGACTTCTTATCCTCCAGTGTGTGTCATTTAGTGTCTTAGTCAAGCTTGCCTATGAAATATAGATTATTATATTATTATATAATTGGAGGATATGATATAATATATATAGTATTTAATTATAATTTATATAGTATAAGCATCAAAAACAATAGTTTAATAAACTTTGAGACTTCAAATGTATAATGAAAGGTGGTTCAATAAACATTCTTTAATAGATTCTAGTTTCCTTGAGTGTAAGCACCAGATTTCTTAATTGATTTAATATACTTTAATGTATTTTTTTTAGAGATTAATAAAGTAATATTTTAAACTCAACCTCATGTATAATAAGCAATGATGTATGTAAATCTTTGGGTCAAAATAAATTTCTATCATTATATATATGTATATAAGAAATTCATACAAATCAACAAGAAAAAGCCAAATAATCCAATCAGAAAGGGGGCAGAGGATCTGAAAAGATACTTATTCAAAGAAGACAAAGATATAAATAGAAACATGAGAAAATGTTCATCATTTATTGTTAGGGAAATGCAAATCAAAACCACAATATCATCTCACAATTGTGAGAATGGCTATTATCCAAGAGATATGAAACACCATGTATTGGTGAAAGTGTGGAGAAAAACTTTTGTACACTGTTGATGAGAATGTAAATTAGTGCAACCATTTTGGAAAACAGTATGGAGGTCCCTAAAAATTTTTAAAAACAGCTACCTCATGATCCCGCAATTCTACTTCTAGGTTTTTATTTGAAGAATAAGAAAATACTAGTTGGAAAAGATAGAGACAGCCTATGTTAATTGCAGCTATTTATGATAATAGACATGTGGAAATGACGTAAGTGTCATCAATGGATGAATGAATAAATGGATGTATACATTCAATGGGATACTACTCAGCTGTAGAGAAGATGAAATCTTACCATTTGCAACAACATGGGTGGAAGTTGAAGGGTTATGCTAAGTGAAATAAGTCAGAAGAAATGCAAACATCATACGATTTTACTGGTATATGGAATATAAGGATATAAGCCAAATAACAAACAGTTATAAGAAGTTCGATGGTGCACATAGTGAGGTATCATACGTTTGAAGAGGTGTGAAGCTGTATTCCTAAAACTTACACAGTATTGACATTGTAATAATAGTATTATTATATCAGATATATATAAAACATGTAATAAAACAATACTAAAAAATAATCCCTCCCAGAGCAGTGTGCATATTAAAACAGTATTAACTTACTAATGCTGCAGCTTTTATAGATTTTATATTCTCTTTCAAAAGAAAACTAGTAGTGGTATCTTAGAAATGTAAGTTTTACCTGGGAAATAAAAGCATAACTGATTTCCTTCTGTGGTTTAATTCAACTAATTTTACTAGCAGTGGTGGCTTTTTGGATTATTAATTCACTCTAAAACAGAAAGGCTGTTCTTTATTTCAAGTATTACAATTGATCAAAGACTGAGGTTTAGAGATGGAGTAAATTTGTGTGGACTAACCCTATAAAGTTTCATCTATAATGCTTAGTTGACAAAGTAATTGCTATTTCAGGCCCTTTGGCCTGAAGAGTTTTTGTTCTGAATCTGTGGTTTAAATGCATAACAAAAGAAAGGAATCTTTAATGGCACTTACTTTGAAATTAGAATGTGATTACTTTAAAGCACTGTGGATAGTTTTATTGCCTTAAACTATTTTTAAACTGCCATTCTTTTTTAATGGTCTCTGTAACTGCATGCTGTGAGAAGGAAAGCTAGCAGAGAATTCATTCTGGTTGAGACTTAGGTGAGGACCTGTGGAGAACTGCAGACAAAGATCTTATTTTTTATTTTTTTTGCCCTAGTGATCATTAGTCTTTTTTCTGCCTTCCCTAACACTCCACATGGGGGTGTTTCCAGAGTCACATTTTTAGCCTAATTGGACCAACTGACAGTAGAAGGCTATGAAAACTTTTCATTTCAGGAAGCTGGGTGATTTGGGGAGGCCTGGTGGAGACCCTGTGAGTGTGAACATACCTCACACATAGATACGTGATGACACATTATTCTTTCATGTCTTGAAGCATGTTAAAGGCATGGGAACTATGTCTGACATACAATGAAGCCCCTAACCTTTGTAGTCTTTAAGACCAAAAAGAGTAACAGATTCTGTTCTGTGAGAGTGTTATTATTTCTCAGGAGTTTGCCTTAGAAATAGGTCAAGATAAAGAGCCCTTACCCGGCCATACATGCTCTGGTACGCCCCTGCAATCATCTGTCTTTGTGCATTACAACGTTGCGTTAGAATGTCAATCAGCATGTCTTTGTCACAGCCTGGAAAATAGTAATATTTGAAGATCAGTGAAGTTGCTGCTCTGTAATTAGGAAGGAGCACTGCCTAAGAATACACCCAAAGTGCAAACAGTATCCCTAATGGTGCTTAAAGCAGTGAGTGGTTTTAACTAAAATTGGAATTTGCACAGCAACACTTGCTGAAACCTAGGTTCTTCCTGTCTCTTGTTTTAATGCTGTTGCTACAGTTTTTCTTTGAAAAGACCCATTAAAAATATAAAGGAGGGCCTCCCCGGTGGCGCAGCGGTTGAGCGCTGGGTTGCGAAGCTGCCCGCGGCCTCTGCAGCACTGGTTCAATCCCCGGTTGCTCCCCGGCCACTGATGAGGGTCCCACATGGTACGCAGACCTCTCCTGCTGCCCGCTGCTCCCCTCAGCAGTGTACTTGGTCCTTCTGCCTGCTCTGCTCCCTGCTCTGGCTCTGGTGAATTCTCTCACCGCCCCGCGCTTCTGACTGTACCCAGTGCTTGTATACATCAATCAATAAATAAATCTTTAAAAAAAAAAAATATATATATATATAAAGGAGTAAAGATTATGTTCTTTCCCCCCAACTTTTTCTTTTACTCCTCAAAGAAAGACTTCTCTGACCTTCAAGCTTAATTAATATTTAAAAGGGCACAACTGCTTTCCTTTTAGTTAGATTATGGCTTATGGTGAACATATATCAACACAAAAATGGCTGCTGTAGTTCAAAACCTTCCAAAAAAAGAAGCGCAATGGAGAAGGAAATTGTGAAAGTCCAAGGGATATCGCCTTTCTGAAGGATGATGTGAACCTCTCATGGTTTGCAAGGAACATAGATGCTCTCACCAGTAATAGAGACTGTTTCTGAGCTATCCAGCCTCCCCTCTCTCAGATAGCAAATCTTAGAGTTGATTGACATGCCACCAGAATGTACAACTAGTTTAAATTTGGCTGTAATTATAGTCACAGTAGAGTGACCAAGAAAGCCTTAGCATTTCTCTTGGCTTGACTAAAATTTAGACAGATTTAGACAACAGGTCCTTCATCTCCCTTATCAGAGAGCATTTACTCTGAAAAATGTGCAGTTATAAATACTTTATATCTTTGATATGTAAATCTTTACCCCACCTTTCATAATTTTAAAATCCCAAAATATTTTTCTCAAGGTCTTGGAAGCGATCCCTTTGAAACTATGTGTAATCATCAAGTGATAAAGTTCCTACTTCCTGGACTATGAAGAGGGTGGGTGCCTAAACTCCATTAATGCCAATTAAACACAGGTGGTCAAATTGTTACAGGCCTGCATGAGGAGTACCCTGAAAGCTGCAAACCTGCCTGCTCTAAATGGGTTCTGCTATTTGCCTCATCCAGACAAAACATATTCTCGTGTGTGAGACCTTCAATAGACAATAACTTTAATACAATTTGTGTGTAATAGAATATAATTAAAAATAGTTTCCAATTAAACACCCCAAATTACCCATACCCTCATGTGTAAATGCCCCACCAAACAGGGTTGGCCCAAAGCAGGACTGCTGAGGCCCAAAAGCTTGCCTCAAGTCTAAGGCATCTTCTGGTGGGGACCCATAGGAGAGGGGCAGAAGAGGCTAGACAAGTCTGGAAGGAAAGGGCTGCCATTGTCAGCCGCCTCATGGAGGCTCTTTCAAGTGTGTCCTTCCATGCCCCCACCAAGTCCCTAGCACAAGCCCAAGGCTGAGAAACTAATGCAGCCTCTTGACACTTCACAGGCCTCTCAGCGCTTCCCCCAAGGCTCCCCTACTCCCCCCTTTTCCTCTCAGTCCCTTTAGCCTCTCTTCCCTGCCAGCTCCACCCCTGATTCCCCCATCCCTTCCCCCACTAGGGAACACAGAAACCCCAGGGATCACCCTGCCACAAAATCACAGTGACCAATGCTGCCACTGGCCAGTGCACTCCACTATGCTTCCTCTAGCTTATTCTAGTTGCTTAAAAACCTTCTTGCCTTCTTTTTTTCCCAGAGGAACTGAGTCCAGTTTCTTTCCCCTATTGCAATAGCTTACAATAAAGTCTTCTTTAACCTGCTTAATTCTGTTGGGTGGAATTTTTCTTTGACAGGATGAGAGGAGGAGAAAAATGAATGGAAAAGCTTAGATGTTAATGAGATCACTTAAAAAAATTAAAGGTATCCTTGTAGTCTTAGGATCAAAAGAAAGCTACAAAGCAGGTGCTGAAATATAGGGCAAGTGTGTAAGCTTTACGTAAATGTTTGTGTCAACCAGAAATAAGAGGAAGAGCAGTGTGTTTTATGCAGGGGAAATGGTCTGGAAGCTGTAAAATGGAGGGAGGAAGGTATAACATCAGCTCCAAACAATGAATTTATGGTTTGTGAGAAAAAAAGATAGCCTCTAGGGAAGAGACAGAATAATGAGGTGGCCCAGTTAAAACCTTGGACTCAAACTACTTTTAATAGTTTTAGAGGAATCTGTTAACTGATGGACATTTCCAAATGAATACATTTTTATTAATAAAAATTTTTAATTATATTCACTCTTATTTTTACTGTCATCACACATTTTATAGTCTTCTTTTTTTGTTCTGTTGAGATTATCCATAGCCTACCTCTCTTAATTATTATTTATTTTTCAAGGTATTTGTAGTAATTCTTGCAGACCTATGTAGAATAATTTTATATGAATTTTGAAAATTGTAATGAAAATTCTTAATGAAAATAATTGTAAACTTAGGAATCAACATAGTTGTCTTTCTTCACTAACATGACATATATATCAAATTACTTTTTTTTCCCTAACGGAACTTGTAAATAACTGTTGAGATTTTGTGAACAGAAACTTTGTTAAAATGATTTGTATTTTACATTTCTACTTATGTTTCAAGTTACCTTATTTTGCCCTTAACACATAATGGCTTAAATGTCATTAAATAAATCATATTATATGTGATGTTTACCTTGGCACCAGAAAAATTATTTTACTGTCATAATTTCAATCAAACTCATGAATTTTAAGATGCATAATGATATCCTCTGCAAATAATAAAAAATTAATATCTTTTTAAGTCATTTTATGTTTTTCTCCTCATCACATTGGTGCCAGAATTTCTAGATAATTCTTTTTTTCCTGGTTTAATCAGTAAAGCCTGGTCACATGAACCATAGCAATTTTATTTAGTTTTTATTATGTACCAGTTGATTCTTGTTATCTGGGGTACTTATAATATATATGGTTGCCATGAACAGACTTAAATATTGAATTGTTGTTCCTGGAGAAAATACAGAAGTAGGTTTTTACTCCTCTTTGGTCACAATATTTTTGTCAACAGAAATGCCTTTTACATTACATATGCTTGTTTTCCAGCATCCTTATAAAACATACAAGTCTAATGAGCATTGAAAACCTATCTTCCACACACCCTTTTCCCCTGTAAAATGTAGGAGGTATTTTTTAAGCTTTTCTGCAACATCCTGATCTGTAGTATTTGTTTCACCTTGAAAGTGAAGATTTTTATGCAGTATTAAATCAGCCAGCAATACTTACAGAAGAAAGCTGAACACTGAATTAAAAAATGATCAGATATTATTTCAGATGATACCTGGCTATATTGTATTATCAATTCATTGACATTAAAGACTTGGTTAACAGCATTAGAACTGATCTGTGAATGAAGCTTATCTAATGCATATAGTTTCTCACTAATACTTGTGCTTTGGAACAAGAGAGCACTTAAGCACTAGGCTGAGAGTTATTTTAAAGAGTAAAATCATCAACAAAAAGCACTAAAATGCAAAAATGTAACACTAAATAGATTGCAAAATGGAACCTTGCTTATAGCATTAATAGCTGAGAGCTTAAACAGTCTCAACTGGGAGTACGTGTAGCGGTGACTCAAATTTTTCACCTCTTTGTTTATATCTATTTAATGACAATTAAATTACTTGTTGGAATTATGAAAACATTTTAACAAGTGGAAAGATTTGGCAAATATGAAATCTGTGAAAAATGAACATTGCCTGTGTGATCAGCTAGGCAAATATGGTCTATTAGGCAAAAGAATAATTATCACTAAAATTTCAGGTGATTTCCAAATCTAAAGTACTGAGTGGCCTATAAAATCTTCAAATATAAAGACACAGATAGATTAAAATTAATGATGAAGGAAGATGTATCAAGCTAACAATTAAAAGAAAGCTGGACTATCTACCTGGATTTTAACAAACAATTTCAGAGAAAGGAAAATTACCAGAGATAGAGTGGGTCATTACATAATGATGATGAGGTCAATTCTTAAAGAAGATGTAGCAAATCCTAAGGTGTATATGATGAACAAAAGAGCACCAAAATATGTGAGGCAAAAACTGATAGAATTCCTAGGAGAAATATGTAAAATCTATTATTGTGTCTGGAAACTTTAATATCTCTTTTACAGAAATGGACTGATCCAGCAGACAGAAAGTCAGAAAGGGCATGGTTAAACTCAACAACACAATCAATATGAATATTAACCAAGAAAAACTACCTTCCAACGCATAAAACACGCCTTAGTTTAAAATAATAGACACTATACAAAATATCCTCTCAGATACAATGGCATTAAATTAAAAATCAATAAAAGCTATCTGGTGGGAAGTTTCCAAATATTTGGAGATCAAACATCATACTCTTTAATAACACCTGGGGCAAAGAAGAACTCTCAAGAGATTTAAAAAAAATTCCAACTAAATGAAAATGAAAATACAACCTATTAAAATTTGTGGAATACAAGTGCAATGTTTACAGGAACATTTATGGCTTCGAATATATTTCTGGGAAATAAAGATCTAAAATTAACAATTTAAACTTCTACTTTAGGAAATTAGAGAAACAGAACTAACTAAATTTAAACAGTAGAAAGCAAAAATTAGAGCAGATATCAATGAAATTGAAAATAGGATATCAATAGAGAAAATCAGTATACCCCAAAGCAGTTTTTTTTTTTTTTGAGGCCAGTAAAATTGAGAAGTTTCTAGCCAGATCAACTACAAACACACAAAAAGTATAACAACAGAATACTAAAAATAACTGTGTAGCCATAAACTTGATAATTTAGAAGAAAGGGATCAGTTCCTTCAAGGATACAATCTACCCAAATTCACACAAAGCAAGATAAACCATCTGAATAGGCCTATATCTATCAAAGAAATAGAATCAGTACTGAGTAATCTGTCAAATTGGAAAATGCTAGACCCTTATGTGTTCACTGGTGAATTCTACTGAACTTTCAAAGAATGAAATTAAAGCAATTTTTTAGTCTCTTCCATGAGATAAAACCAGAGGGAATACTTCCTAAACTCATTCTATTAGGTCAGCATTATCCTAATATCAAAATCAGAGAATCATTACAAGAAATTTACAGACCAACAAATCACATGAACATAGAATTAAACATCATTAAAAAATTAGCAATCCAGTTAAAAATGTTTGAAAAGAATTGTACATTGAGAATAATTAGGATTTAGTCCAACATACAAGGCTGGTTCAATATTCAAAAATCAATTCATTTAATATATCAGTGGAATTAGAAGAAAAAAACATGATTATATCAACAAATAAAGAAAAATAATTTGCCAAAAACTAATACCTCTTTAAGATGAAAACTCTTAGCAAGTTAGGAGTTGAGGGGACTTTATTATTTATAAAGATGATTTATGAAAACTCTATATCTGACATCATACTTTATGGTGAAGACCTGGAACAAGGCAAGGCTAAGCATACTAATATGTATAAATATATATATATATATATTTAAAATTAAAATTGATATTTATAAAGTCAAGATTTAGGCACGTAGAATAAAAATAGTTCCAGTTGTCTTGGGTATCTTGTAGATAATTTAGCAATTATATAAGAGGCAATTATATATTACTAGCTATATAATATATAATAGAAGCAATATAAGTAGTTTTAAAAGTGCATGGGTGGGGCAAGTATCTTTCATTGAACATTCATTTATGAAACACCTGGACTCCAGATTCTATGCCCTGGGAACTCACCGACCAATCATCAAATGGCCAGAAGGACAAGCACAGTGAGTAAGATATCAGTGATGCTGAGGCAGGGTGCCTGTGGTTTGGCATAGCTGGTTAAGTTTGGAATGTCCAGAGAATGTTTCATAGAGACTCATTTAAACAGATTCTTGAAGAAAAGAATTTGGAGGCAAAGAGGCAAGAGAAGAAAATAGCTTTCCAGGTGCAGGGAGTATTGGATCAGTTTACAGAGATGTGGAAAAACAGAGCTATTTGGAAGAAAAGCAAGAAATTTGATCTGACTGGAACTAGAAGTAGCAAAATAGGCTAGAAAAATAAAGACAAAGAAGGATGTTTTAATATAGATCAAGGTTTTGGTTGAAATTTAATAAGACATTTAAAGACATAAAAACAATTAAAATCAAATTTCAATTTAGAATGGCAATCTTTTCACTATTATATTTATTATACTTCTTTGCCCAGATTAAAAATAAATCTGTCATCTCACATGTAAGTATTTATGCCCATTTTACACTCATAAAACAAGTTAAAGCAAAAATAACATATGCAATAAAGACAATAGAAATCATCAAGCTCACCAAATCCTTCAAGTGCTCCTCCTAGCATTTGGGCATCCATTATGGGATTGAAATTGGGAGCAGGGAAGATGGTTCCTTGCACCTATAGAGAAGAATCCATGAGAGTGACTGTGGGATTTTGTGTGAAAATTTTCAATATATTTTTTTCAGGTAAGTGAAAAATTCATATATTACATATACTTAAGTTGAGCAATACATAAATCCAAACAAAAGTGTTTTATTCATTGACTTCAGAGAGCAATCTTGATTGTATTTTTTTAAATTCACTTGTCTCTTCTATATTGGCACCTGTTTTTATCTAGCAAACAGATAAAATAATAAATAATGGAAATATGCAAGAATCAAATAAATTTCTTCTTAGTAAATAGTAAGCATTTTCTTAGAAACTGGAAACTATTTTGTGGACATGGAAGAGAAAACTGTATTGGGGGATTCATATTATTCATGAATTAAAAGTGACATTTGCTACCACAGCTCTTTCATGCACCATGACCCCTAAAAGCATATTAGAGGAAATTAAGATTTTGAGTTTGGATTATGGGATTCAGAAAAATCTAGGTAACATAGATAAAAACATTTTTTAGCTGAAGGATGCAACATCAGGAGAACACAAAAACCTGATTGATGTTCCATTTAAATTTGTCAATAATAAAATGGCAGATCATTCAAGTTAGGCTTTGAATCCACATTGTCTGTTATTTTAGACAGACTCAGTCAGGATAAAGCACCATCTCATCATACTCCACATGAGAGAACTATCAATCTCAATCTGACTTTAAATCTGACTTTATTAAGAAGAGGAGCTCATCTCTGTTTGTTGTCAGTGTGCGTAAGAACATAGGGATGTATTTTAATTTAAACCAATGACAGTGTTTTAAACTTCTGCAAGAGTCAGACTTTTTCAGTGTTTGTATCTTCAAAAGTCATGTCTTTTTTTTTAATATCCATGTTTCTATTATTTTGATCTTAGAGTAAATTGAAAATGTGGAAAAAAGCAGACATTCCAATGTCACATGAAAAATAATAACATATACACTAAAATTATTTTCTCTTTTCTTCTTTTGAAAATTGGCAGACTTAGAAATAGTGTCAGTTGTCTAAGGCAAAATAAATTTTAATGCCTGTCATTTCAATTTGAATTCTTCCCACAAAATAATCAAAATATAATCTTTGCTTCTAGTCTTCTGTGAATTAAGGTTTTGACAGAAGAATAAAAAATACTCTGTTTTTAAAGGATGGAATATTCTGCCACATAAACTCACTATACAGAAGAGAGGAGTAATATATAGATTTAAAGTTGGTTTTTGTATCTACCCTCTGAGTAAATAATAATATTTTTTTTTTTGCTGATAGAAAAAATTTCGAAGTTATTATTTCTACCTGAATATAGACTGTATAAAATTACTTATCTTTTGCTTATGAAGCTGTTTTACCATATACTATCAAGTAACTCAATAAATGCTTTATGTTTATTTATTGATAGCTAATCCAGGAGTGCTGGAGTTCAAAAATCTCTAGCCTGAAAATCCAGCACTCTTATCAAATTAACTTGAAATCGGCTAAATGTGATATATTGACATTAGTGTAGACTGCTCAATATTTAAATTGCATACCTGGAATTTTCTTGTAAACTGTATGATGTTATAACTAGGCTAAAAATTTGGGTGCAAATTCCCAGTTAATTTACCTTTCAGACAATCCAATAAAAGGTAATTATTTGCTACTCACTTGATGTCAATCAGAAACACTCCTCTCTCTCCTCGTATTACTCTTATGTTTCTATTATGAGGGTTGGAGACCATGTCAAAATGTCATTGATTTGAAGAGATGTAACTGACATAGGTATTAGAGAATGGGTCTTACCACGGAAGGGGAGAATGAAAAAGTTGAGCAGTCACATTTGATTACTTTTGCTTTTATTTTACTTTCTATTGGAGTCGAGTCCCCAAAGACATTACTGAAACCAATATCATGGAGTGTTTTACCAGTATTTTCTTCTATGTATTTTATGATTTCAGGTCTTACATCTAAGTCCTTAATCCATTTTGAGTTTATTTTTGTGTGTGGGATGAGAGTGGTCTAGTTTCATTATTCTGCATGTGGTTTTTCACTTTTTCCAACACCATTTGTCCTTTCTTCATTGTATACTCTTGGCTCTTTCATCATAGTCCATTAGATTGAAAAAGCATGTATATATTGATACAATTGTACCTTACTTATTGTAGTTTTGTGTGTATATATTAATACAATTGTACCTTACTTATTGTATAGAATTAAAGTTTCCAACTTCTTATGTTGAAAAATTGCATAAGTCATTTTGTGTTCAGAGGTAAAATAATTTCTTATATTTATGCAGATATTTTCTGTGTAACTTAAGTTACCTTAGGACTTCATCTTAGTTTTACATATAATAGCTAATCACATCTCCTGTAAATTTATTTGGTTATTCTTTGAAGAAAGTTAAACAGTATTTGTAGTTGGTTCTGCTACATGTTATTTTAGCTTTATTGTAAATGAAATAGATATGCACAACTGATTTTAGATTGAAGATGATAAATTATATCCAAAAATCTAATAAAATACTTCAGAATTAAGAGGAAAGAGATAATCTTCATACATGTACATGCATAAACCTCTAAAAATTTCTTTCCATATCATAAAAAGTTTCTTAGGAAGAAATTCACTGTAGTACAGAAACTATTCTTATAAAGCTTAAAAACCTACCTTTCAGTGAAACATCAGCCAATTCTGAATTATTTAGGTAACCACTCCCCATTCATTGGTATGACTTATTAGAAAAGGCAGAACACTGGTGCATTCATGCAAACCCTCCTGTTCTACAAGAGCAATCACATTACATTTACTTCACACTAAAATTGGTCTCAGGGATTTTGCAAAAGCTGAGAGATGACATAAATCAAAGTTAACAAAAACCTGCAGAGTTACAATAGCTTCCTCCCCTGAATAGTGCTCATAGAAACATCATCATAGAAACACAGGGCTGGCACCACTGTGAAATTGGTCACCAGATGATACTCTACATAAATATTTCAGCTAAAACAATGGCACTAGTGATTTTATTTACTCTTCTTGAAAATTTGGTTAGTTAGAACCTCATGCTAATAAGACTTAGTGTGCATTTCTGAAACTTTTTTCTTCAAAACTCTACAACAGGCCCCCCAACCTTTATATAATTCAGTCATGTTCATGGGAAGTTAATACATAAATGGTAAGACAAAGACTAATAAGAAACTGTGGTGTAATATGACTTATTCCTGCTAAAAATGGAAATAATACAACTTAATTATATATGTACATTTACAGTCTGGGGCATTTTTTACAAATTATTTTGGAGAATACATTGTTCTAATTGTTCATCATGTTCATTTTTGAGAAAACTTATTTCAGAATTGGTGTTAGAGCTACTTGAATGTTTACTTGTTAATGAGGGATTTGTGGTTTCCAGTCAACCAAATTTGGGAGCTCCCATTTGGTGAATTAGGAAATTTAAAGTAACATTCTGCCTGAATAAATAGAAGGCAAAACTTTAGGGCTATTATAGTTCTGTAATTAAAGAGTATCAATGAAGTTACTAGAAAAGAATAGATATAGTGGTATAAAGGATCATAGATTTTTCACGTTACTATTGCTAATTAATAAGGAATATAAGAAATGATTACTTGATTCTGTGTAGTCTCACAATATTTAATCAGAAAAAGGAATAGAGATGAATTCATGAATTATGAAAGAAAAAATATGGAGAGCATAATTCAGGACATTTAGTGTTTATGTATCTGGGAGAGAATAGTGCTATGAAAGAAAATAATAAAGAAAAAATTAAAAATTCAGGCAATAGAAGGTCACATCTTCAAATGTAAAGGGACCTCTCATATTGGGAGTATTAGTTATGTGATCTTATGAGAAACCAGAATATTCCATACTGGAAATACTAATGGAAAAACCAAGGTGTAGATTAAATGCTGACATTTAATTTGTGAATAATTATATTCCATAAATTTATAATTAAAATTTATAATTCCATAAATTTATTAGAATAGTTTCTACACAATAATGTTACAGATCTTAATTGAATAGTGATATTAAAATTTCAGACACTTTAATTTGACATATTTGGAGAGTTTAGTAGCTAGCACTTTCAAAGTACTGCAATCCATTTCAAAAATAGGAAGTGTCCTGCAAATTAAAAATTCTTCAGCTTTCTTGTGTGGAGATTCCTCAACCTGCTAAAGATGGAGCTTTCATATAATCCAGCAATTTCACTCCTAGGTATTTACACAAGGGACACAGAATCATTAATTCAAAAGGGCACCTGAACCCCTATGTTTACAGCAGCCCTATTTAAAATACTAAGCTATGGAAACAACCCAAATGCCCAAAAATAGATGACTGGATCAAGAAGATGTGGTACATGTACACAATAGAATATTACTCAGGAATCAAAAAAGATAAACTCATACAATTTGCAGCAACACAGATGGAGCTGAAAGGGATCATGCTCAGCGAAATAAGCCGGAAAGAAAAAGAAAAACACCAGATGGTCTCACTTATAGCAAGTTTTTAGAAAACCTAAATAAGGGACCAGGAAAAAGACTAATTATAATAAAGTAAAAATCAAAATCAACAAGCAACTGTATACCAGAGACACACTACGGGGTGGGGAGGAGGTAAGGGGAGGAAAGATTAGAGTCAAAATAAGGGGGGTGTGGGAATTGTATGGGGGCTATAACGAAGATGAAAATGCATACATTGTGAAAAAATGAAAAATGATGTAAAATATGTATAAAATAAAATATAAATGAATTAAAAAATCTTCAGCTTTCAGTAAAGGGACTTTATTTAAAATTACAGATAGACTTTATTTGGATGGAGGTAATATTGTTCTGTGAGATCTTCCTGCTTTTCCATGGAAAATGAAGTGAAATGTGAAGGGTAGTGATAGCATCATCAAGGAGAGCACTAGGGAACATGATATATGTTCATGGAGTTTAGAGAGCAAAGTGAACTCACACTGGAAAAGAGTAAAGCTGAGATTGTATGACCAAGTAGCTGATTTAAGTGAGG